AAGAAGATTAATAATAACCTATATAAAGATCTATTGGATTATTCAAATACAAAGCTTATAAAAAATCCATAAAATACATTTTGTTTAATTGCAAAAAGTAAATGAAATCAATAAATAGGTTATGCATTAAATGATGAGATGTAATATGAATAAGCAATCGCGTAATGTGAAAAGGTTTTGAAGGAAGAGCCTTAACATCTCCATGCTCTATATAGAAAAAGTAATCATAAATTTTATAGAACAGGCTTTTCTTTATAAGATTTGAATTAACATTCATAAGCAGTTTCGTGTATTGAAAAAGCTTTAAGTGAAAATTTTAAATACTCTATTGGTTACATATTATAAGGTTGTTTATTATATCTTAGTTTAAGGGTATTCATTAAAAAGTATTGGTAAATAAAAAGATGCCATTGATTGTTATGATAAAGCAATTTAATTAGATCCTTATTATGCATAAGCTTATACTAATAAAGGTTAATCAAGTTTTGATTTTATAGGCGCTTCTTTAGATGATCTTGGTTAATATAACGATGCAATTAATTGCTATAATAAAGCAATCTAATTGGATCCTAATGATGCATAAGCATATTTTAATAAAGGTTAAACAATTTTTATCATTTCATTAGGCAATTCCTTAAAAAATCTAAAAAAATATAACGATGCAATTAATTGCTATGATAAAGCAATAAAACTGGATGTTAATAATGCATCAGCCTATATTAATAAAGGTTTATAAATTTTTTTGATTTTAATAGGCAATTCCTTAAAAAGTCTTTTAAAATATAGTGATGCGATTAATTGCTATGATAAAGCAATTTAACTAGATTCTAATAATGCAAAAGTATATAATAATAAAGGTTTATAAATTTTTTGATTCATAGGTGCTTCTTTAATTGATCTTTGTAAATATAACGATGCCATTGATTGCTATGATAAAGCAATTTAATTAGATCCTTATTATGCAAAAGCTTATACTAATAAAGGTTAATCAATATTTTGATCATATAGGTGCTTCCTTAGATGCTCTTTGTAAATATAACGATGCAATTAATTGCTATGATAAAGTAATCTAATTGGATCCTAATGATGCATAAGCGTATTTTAATAAAGGTTAATCATTTTTTCATTTTAATAGGTAATTCCTTATATAATCTAAAATAATATAACGATGCAATTCATTGCTATGATAAAGTAATACAACTGGATCCAAATGATGCATCATCTTATATTAGTAAAGGTTAATTAATTTCATATTTTAATAGGCAATTCTTTATAAAATCTAAAAAAATATAACGATGCAATTAATTTCTATGATAAAGCAATCGAACTGGATACTAATTGCTCATAAGCATATAATAATAAAGGTTAATCACTCTATTCATTTTAATAGGTGTTTCCTTAAAAAGTTTAAAAAAATATAAAGATGCAATTAATTGCTATGATAAAGCAATCTAATTAGATCCTAATTATGCATAAGCTTATACTAATAAAGGTTAATCATTTTTTCATTTTAATAGGTAATTCCTTATCAAATCTAAAAAAATATAAAGATGCAATAAATTGCTATGATAAAGCGATCTAATTGGATCCTAATTATACATAAGCTTATAATAATAAAGGTTAATAATTAATTACATTTTTATAGGAAATTCTTTATAAAGTCTTAAAAAATATGATGATGCAATCAAATGGTACGATAAAGCAATCTAATTGGATCCTAATTATGCATCAGCTTATATTAATAAAGGTTAATCAAATTATTGATTTAATAGGCAATTCCTTATAAAATCTAAAATGTTATAGTGATGCAATTAATTTCTATGATAAAGCAATTGAACTGGATACTAATTGCTCATAAGCATATAATAATAAAGGTTAATAGCTCTTTTCATTTTGATAGGTGTTTCCTTAAAAAATTTAAGAAAGTATAAAGATTCAATTAATTGTTATGATAAAGCAATTTAATTAGATCCTTATTATGCATAAGCTTATACTAATAAAGGTTAATCAATATTTTGATTTTATAGGTGCTTCTTTAGATGATCTTGGTTAATATAACGATGCAATTAATTGCTATAATAAAGCAATCTAATTAGATCCTAAAAATGCATCAGTCTATATTAATAAAGGTTAAACAATTTTTTTATTTTAATAGGCAATTCTTTATAAAGTCTTCAAAAATATAGCGATGCAATTAATTGCTATGATAAAGCAATCCAACTAGATCCTAATGATGCATCAGCCTATACTAATAAAGGTTAATCAAATTTTGATTTTATAGGCACTTCTCTAGATGATCTTGGTGAATATAACGATGCAATTGTTTGCTATGATAAAGCAATCTAACTGAATCCTAAAAATGCATCAGCCTATATTAATAAAGGTTAAACAATTTTTTTATTTTAATAGGCAATTCCTTATAAAATCTACAATGTTATAGCGATGCAATTAATTTCTATAGTAAAGCAATCTAATTAGATCCTCATAATTCATTAGCTTATTTTAATTAAGGTCAGTAAATTTTTTGATTTTAATAGGTAATTCCTTATAAAATCTCAAAAAATATAAAGATGCGATTAATTGTTATGATAAAGCAATACAACTGGACCCTAATTATCCATAAACTTATAATAATAAAGGTTATTCAATTTATTGATTTTAATAGGCAATTCCTTATAAAATCTAAAAAAATATGACGATGCAATTAGTTGCTATGATTAAGCAATTCAACTGGATCCTAATTATGCATAAGCTTACAATAATAAAGGTTAATCAATTTTTTGATTTGAATAGGTGCTTCCTTATAAAATTAAAAAATATATAACGATGCAATTAATTGCTATGATAAAATAATCAAACTGGATCCTAATTATGCATCAGCCAATTTTAAAAAAGGTTAATCAATTTTTGAATTTTAATAGGTGCTTCCATAGATAATCTTTATAGCTATAACGATGCAATTAGTTGTTATGATAAAGCAATTTAACTAGATCCTTATTATACATTAGCCTATATTAATAAAGGTTAATCATTTTTTTGATTTGAATAGGTGCTTACTTAGATGATCTTGGTAAATATAACGATGCAATTAAATGCTATGATAAAGTAATTCAACTAGATCCAAATTATGCATAAGCCTATATTAATAAAGGTTAAACAATTTTTTTATTTTAATAGGCAATTCCTTATAAAATCTAAAATAATATAACGATGCAATTAATTGCTATGATAAAGCAATTCAACTGGATTCTAATTAGGCATCAGCCTATATTAATAAAGGTTAATCAATTTTTTGATTTTAATAGGTGCTTCCTTAGATGATCTTTGTAAATATAATGATGCAATTAAATGCTATGATAAGGTAATCTAAATGAATCCTAATTAAGCATTATCCTATATGAATAAAGGTTAATCAATTTTTTGATTATCATAGGCAATTTCTTATAAAATCTAAAATAATTTAATGATGCAATTAATTGCTATGATTAAGCAATCCAACTGGATCCTTATTATACATCAGTCTATATTCACAAAGGTAATCAATTTTTCATTTTAATAGGTTATTTACTAACTTAA